AGGGGTTGCGGGGCAGAGAGATCTCCTCTCCGTGTGCCCTGCCCTTCTGGTTTGAAAGCCTCCGGGCAGGAATGCCACCGTCGCGGGCTCTTCATCTCCGTGCGGCTTCAGACCAGGGCTGGGCCGCGAATCAAGGAAGCGACGGCTGCCATCCAGGCCACTGGCAATTGGGGGGAGGGGGCTCCAGCAAAAGGGGGGGGGGGGGGGGGGGGGTGGCTAGGATGGCAACGTGTGTTTGGTGTGTCGGGAAACTCCGGCTGGATTCTTTGGGAGCAGATATCCCAACCGTGGGCCTTGGGGAGGGGGTGCACTCCCAGAATTCCCCAGCCAGCCTGCTGACTGAGGGGGCTGGGGAATTCTGCCCGCCTCCAGGGCCACGGTTGGGAAACCTTGGTGTAGAGGCCTGAGCCAGCTGCTCAGGCAGCTCCGTGGCTGTGAGCCTCTTTCTGGCTGGCTGGTTTTGTAGCTCTGGCGGACTCAGAAGCTGACCCTCTGCCCCCTGGTGCGCCGGACTTCGGTTCCCCTGATTTCCGGCCTGGGGACGGATAGCGTGGGCACCAGAGAGGCTTGTGGGCCAGCACGTTGAGCTCTGCTCCACAAGGCCTCTGAGCACCACAGAGAGCCGGTTCCGCAGGGCCTGTCCGGGCGGGGCTGGGGGCTTCCCCGCTGTGCCAGCTGTGGGGCCGGGAGCCCTGCTGGAGTGACACCCGGCTGTCCCCACAGGTGAGGCACCGCCAGTCAGGGCAGGTCCTGGTGCTGAAGATGAACAAGCTGACCAGCAACCGAGGGAACATGTTGCGCGAGGTGCAGCTGATGAACCGGCTCTGCCACCCCAACATCCTCCGGTAGGCCAGGAGGGCCCCCCCCCCGGTCTGGAGGAAGGGGCCCTGCTGGGGTGGAAGGGAGGGCCAGGCTGAAATGGGCCCCAGGGGAAGAAGGGCCGGGAGGCTCCGCCGCCTGCTCCTGGCCCTCCTGCGGGGGGGTCCCAGGGGGGAGCCCCAAGCAGAGCTCCTTGTGCCCAGAGAGGCCCCTGGGGGTGGGGGAGGGTGAGCACGGGGCCCAGGTCCAGGGCAGAGCAGCGGGTGGCCCTGCTCCCTTCCCCCCAGGGGCGCTGGGGACGGAGGGGGGGCGCTAAGGGGGCCCAGGCAGGGGGTCTCACTGCTGACGGTTCCCCTCCCCTCCCGCCGCCAGGTTCATGGGGGTCTGCGTCCACCAGGGCCAGCTGCATGCGCTGACAGAGGTGAGTGTTGGGGCCGGGCATGAAGGGTCGGCCAAGGGCCCGGCTGATCCAGGGGACAAAGGGCCCCCAAACTTCCTCTCCTTTCTCTCCCCGCAGTACATCAATGGGGGGAACCTGGAGCAGCTGCTCGACAGCCCCACCCTGCTCCCCTGGCCCGTCCGCCTCAAGCTGGCCCTGGACATCGCCCGGGGGCTCTGCTACCTGCACAGCAAGGGCATCTTCCACCGGGACCTGACCTCCAAGGTGGGGAGGGGGGCTGTGCTGCGCCCCACCCCTCCCCCTGCCTGGGCCTCAAAGTGGGCAGAGGATTGGGGGGGGGATCCCCAACCGGCTCCCGGATGAGCGGGGGGGGCGCTGGTTGCGGGAGGGGCCTTCCCTGGAAGGAGGGGCTGCAGAAGGAGAGGCTCGTGCTGTGGGGCCCCTCGCCAGCCCCGCACCCCCTTTCTAGGGCCCAGAGAAGGGCTGGCAGAGTCCCTTGGCCCTCGTGCCCCCCCCCCGCAAGCCCTCTCCTTATTCCCTGGGGGGGGGAGGGTTGTCTGGTCAGAGATGCCCCATCCTGGGAGCTGCCTTTTACCTGGGATGGCCTCTCAAGTGTCCCCCTCCTGCCCCCCCCCCCCCCCCCCCCCCCCCCCGTGGCCCGGCCTTTACACAGGCTCTCCCCCCCCTTGCAGTGAGGGCGGTGAGAAGGAGCCCCTGGCTGTGGTGGGCTCCCCCTACTGGATGGCCCCCGAGGTCCTGCGTGGGGAGCTGTACAACGAGAAGGTGAGCCACACGAGGAGGAGGAGGAGGAGGAGGAGGAGCAACAATGGGAGGGGGACTGCGGGAGGGGGAGGAGGAAGGCACCTGCTTGCCCCCTCCCTGCCCCCCCGGCTCCAGGGCTGCCCCCAGACCTTCCCCCGCTGTGTCTCCCGCAGGCGGACGTCTTTGCCTACGGCATCATCCTCTGTGAGACCATCGCGCGGGTGCCGGCCGACCCCGACTACCTGCCTCGCACTGAGGTAAGCCCCCCCCCGCATGCCTCGGCCGCCCCAGCAAGAGGGGAGGCAGCCGGGCCCCTCGGGGGGAGCTTGAAGCGGGGGCTCCAGTGCCCAAAGCGGGCAGGGGGCACTGCTCAGAGTCCGGGCACGGAAGTGGGGGGGGGGCGAGCTCTAGCGGGCTGCTCTCTCCACTCGGTCCCTGGCAGGGATCAGAGTTCAAGGAGGAGGCGGAGGGGCCGGTGTGAACCAGAGCCCATTTGGCTCCCTTGGTGTCCACAGGCCTAGGAAGCCTCCCAGTTTTGCCCCCTGGCTAGTTTCCCACCACTTGTGCCTGAGCCACCCGTGGGACACGGCTTGTTCCAGCAGTGCGCGGCTGGGTGGATGGGATGGGGTGGGCTGATGGAATGAGCGCACCATTGGCACCCAGTGCGCCTGTCAAGACCAGCCTGCTGGCCATGGGGCAGTGGGGAGAGGGGCGGACTCTGCCAAGGCCTCCAGGGACGGGGGTGGGGGTCACTGTTCCCGGTGGGGAGCTTGGCTGGCAGAGGCGGCGTTGGCTGCCAAGCTGCGCTTCATCTCCCGCTCTTTGTGTCGGTTGCCTCCCCAAGCGCTAAAAGCCACCGGATGATTCCGGAAAGCCAGAAGTCGGCCGTTATGCTAAAATGGCCGGAGGGTTTCTCTTGAAAGCCGCCCAGGCCCTCAGGCTGCCCTCCCAGCGCTTCTTCCGGACTGCTTGCGTGCCAGGCCGTATCCCGGAGGCATCTTGGCCCCGGCTTCCCCCGGCATCCCCATTGAGACGCCTGGGTCTTCGGGACAGAGTCCTGGGGGACAGGCAGGGTACGGCTGATGCCCTCTGGGTGACCCTCTTCCATTTGGGAACACGTTGCTGCCAACCTGCTAGCAGCGTATAACCCGGGGCTCTGCCCTCCCTGCCCCTCCAGCCACCAACAGCCTCCCGGGAAGCCCTGCGTATGGGGGGGGGGGGGGGGGGGGGCTGGAGGGGGAAAGGCTTTTCCTCTTGAATTTGGGTCTCTGCTGTTGAGTGCGGCTGCAATTGGGTGAGTCCAGGAAGCCGGCTTCCTTCTGCTTCCCAGAGCGCTTCTTTTGGGGGGGGCATCTTCCCCGGCCCCTCCCCCCTTCACCTTTTCTCTCCTCAGGACTTCGGCCTCGACGTGGCCGCCTTCTGCAACCTGGTGGGAGCCGACTGTCCGGCGGCCTTTCTCCAGCTGGCCTTCCACTGCTGCACGGTGGGTCCTGGCGCCCCCTCCCCACAAGGAAGGGGGCAGGTGCGGGAGCCGGGCTAGGAGAAGAGCCACAGCTGCCCCTTTGGTGGGGCTGGGGGGTGGGGGGCATCCTCTCAGGAGCTCTGGGCGTCCCCACTTGGGCTGCAGGGCCCGCCTGCCTTTCTGGATTCTGCCCGGGGGGGAGTTGGACGGGGGCCTGCCCCCCCCCGGTGGGCTTTCTCTGCTCCACGGGGAAAGGCCGGACAGGGAGCTGGTGCTGGAAGTCCGGGGGGGCCCCAGAGACAGCGAGGCTGCTTGCCCACGGCCATCACCTGGGCCTGCAGCTTCCGTCTGACCCAAAAGAGACGAGCCGCCCCTGTGCTTCCTTCTCCTGCCCCCAGATGGAGCCCACGGCCCGGCCCTCCTTCCTGGAGATCGTCCAGCGCCTGGAGGCGATGCTGCTGCTGACGGCCGGAGACCCCGGCCAGGCCCTGCCCAACAACGACGGCGGGACGGCCCTCCCAGGCAACTCGGCGGCAGCCGCGCTGAAGGGTAGCCGCTCTCAGGACAGGGGTTGCGATGCAGGGAGCGGGTGGGCAAGTGCCAGAGAGGAAGTGTGGGTGGCATGGTTGGGTTCTTGCTTTCTTACGCTGGAGATTCCAGGAACCGTCCTGGGTGCCGGAAGGGGCGAAGGTGGGCTGGAGGGAAAGGGGAGCCTTGGAAGGCACTGCACACTTGGCTTGAGTTGGGGGCAGAGGAGGGCTTTCCTCCTGGGCCTCTGAGCCCCCAGGGGAGGGGAGGGGAGGGGAGGGATGTGCCCCCCTCGTATGCTAGGATAGTCCCTGCCCAGCCTTTTGGAACCATTGCAGCTGAGCTGTTTCCCGGCCTAGACTTGGCCTTTGCGGAGCGCAGGACACTCTGCGATGCCATCCTGGGATGCCTCTAACACGCCCCCCCTCCTTCTTTTTGCACCCAGGTCAGGCGGCCAAGCAGCTCTCCTTCCCCAACACCCCACCTGGCCTGCTTGGCCAACGGCTCTTGACCCCGGAGCAGCCCCTCTCCCGCAGCCAGTCAGATGTGTTCCGCCCTCGGTCGCCCGCCTTGCCCCGTGCCCACGACACTCCGCAGCGCGTCAACCCCTTTTCCCAGCGCCAGGACCTCCAGGGGGGCAGGATCAAGCTCTTCGACACCCCCAGCAAGTCCCTGATCTCCCTGACCTTCAACCTGCCGCCCCCCTCGCCTCTTCCACCGGGCACCCCCATCACGCCGGAGCCGGCCGTGGAGATGCAGTGCAACTTTGCCGAGCCCGTGGCCATCGTGCGCCGGTGTCGCTCGCTGCCGTCCTCCCCAGAGCTGCCTCGCCGGGAGCAGCTGCCCCCCAGCCCCCTCTTGGCCCTGGACCGCACCCCCCCAGAACCCCCCAGCCCCCCCGCCAGCGAGCGGATGGACTGCAGTCCGGACAGCCCAGCAGCCCCCTTGACCAACGGCAGCTTCATCAGCACGGCTGTGTCGGCGCCCCGGCCATGGTCCCCCAACGGGCTGCTCCTGAACAACAACAGCAAGCCGCTCAGCTGGGGCAGGGGCTTCTCCGAGCTGAGCGTGCCCCCCATGGTGGAGGGGCCACAGACGGAGCACCCGGGGACGGCGCTGCCCCTGAGCCCCTCCAGCAGCAGCTGCGTGCTGGAACAGGACGAGGTGCTGGCCTGCCCTGCCTGCTGCCTGGGGCCTTTCAGCTTCAGCTTCGCTTCCGTCTGCCACCGGCCGGCCACCAGCACCCCTCGCTACCAGAACCTGAACTGCGAGGCCCAGAGCCTGCAGTGCCCGGAGAGGCACCCCCAGCACTGCAAGGGCCTGGCGCCGGGCCTGGCGGAGCCCAGCCTCAAATTGCCAGAAGCCCAGTCCTGAGGCTGGCCCTGCGGTCGAGGAGCACCCCGCCTCCGCCGGGACATCCTGGATGCCGAGGAGCGGCACGACACCATTGGGCCAGACTGCTCCCATGTTGCAGGGAGGGCTGCCCAGCCCACTGGGAGGCCGGAGGGCGCCGCCAGTCCACAGCCCGGTCTCTGGGCGACAGGGGTCTTGCTTTTGCCCACCGCTGCCTGGCCCCGTTGCAGTCGCGAGGGGCAAGCCCTGGGCTCCCCAACCTCTTGGCTGTGGGTGGGCGCAGAGAAGTAGAACGGCAGGAAGACGCAGGGCTGGGGCGAAGGGAATTCGGGCCGGGGGGCCCGTAGGAGGCTGGCAAGGGTGGGCCCAGGTCATTCTGCCTGCTGGGGGCCCCGGCACACCTGGGGTACAGGGCCGTGGGGTGTGTCGGAGGGATGGGGCCGGGAGGGAGTCAAGACAAACTGCTGGCGCCCCCCCCCCCCCCCCTCCCCCGCCCCGGGCTGGGCCGGGGTGGCGGGGCCTCGGGCCCCGGCCCCCCCCTCTCTGGCACGGGGGGGGGGGGGGGGAGAGGAGAAGGCAGCTGCGTTTTTAATAATACTTGGAAAATACTTGTTAATATATTCAGCTTATTTAATGTGTTGAAAAAAATAAAACTTGATGACAGTTGCCCGCCCCGTCCTGAGTGGTCTCTGCTGAGAAGAGGAGAATTGGGGAAGTCCACCGGGGGAGGGGCAAATTGGGGAGGGGCAGCATTGTCCCTGGTGGGTGGCTCCGCCCCAAAGCCCATCAAGGCTGTTTTGGCCTGGATTCTCTGGGTCTCAGGGTGGAAAACGGCTCCAGAAAACCCCAAAGGGAGGGAGCTGCGACCTGGGAAAGTGGCCTTTCTTTTGGGGGACGAGCAACGGGGGGACCTAAAGGGGAGCAAAGAAGGGAAAGGAATTATATGGGAGGAAAATATCTGGGATACCAGAAGCACGTGTACACGGCCAACGATTTAATTTAGTGCGCTGATCATTTTCTGGTAATATTTCCAAATGCGTTAATGAAAACAACAGCCACGAAAACTTGAATATATAATATTTCAGGGAGAAGTCGGAATACCTCTGCCCCCCCCCCATTTGACGGAACGAGGGTCTCCAGCATCCATGCAGAATCCATGCTAGCCTGAAGGAAACCCTCGCCCCCCCACAGAGGCTGTGGGTGCTGGGGGGGGGCTCCGTGGGGCCAATGGGGCTTCCTCCTTGTCCCATGGGGATGCCTGGAGCCCTTTGGGGAAGGCCAGGCGGATACCTGGGGCGTTGCACAACCGGAGGCGTCCCTTGTGGGTCCCCCAGGAGCAGGAGGGCGGGCGGGGGGCCAAGTCCGGGAGGGCCTTTGGGCGATTCCCCCCGGATGCTGCGTTTCCCTCTACCCCCCCTGGAAGAGCGCGGCTCCGCTGCCTTCGCCTGCCCTGGTCCCACCCGAAGCCCCCCGGGGCCCCTCGCGTGCTTGGCGGAGGGCAGAAGCGCCTCGTGATGCGCCGGGACGTTGCCTTGACTCTCACAGGCGGGGAAAGGAGGCCCAACCAGGGTGGTCAGCCGCGTAGAAGGCCAAGGGCTGCGCCGACCCGGTGGTTGGAGCACCGCAAGCCCGACTCCTGCCGGCTGCCTGCGATGGGCAGATTCATCCAGACTCCGGGCTCTCTCGGCCTTCCCTCCTTCCAAGGTGGGTCAAATGTTGGGGGCCGTGTTTGTAACCCGCTTAGAGAGAGAGGGCTGTCAAGCCCTGGGAAGCCGCATATAAGTCGGGGGGCTCGGGCACAAAGCGGGGCATCCCTCTGGCGCATCCGGGGGGGGGGGCGCTTCCTGCTGCGCTCCGTTGGGCCTGTCCGGAGCCCCCGAGATGAAAGGAGCTGCGGGCCTGCGAAGAGCCTCACGCCGGGCCGGGAAGGGAGGCGAAGGGTGGCCGGAAGGAAGGGCGTCTGAGGCGCTTGGACGGGAGAGGGAGGACGCGCAGGGACTGAAATCGCAGAGGCCTGACCCACGGGGGTCCTGCGGGGGGGGGGCCCTCTTGGCGGGGGGGGGGGGGGGGGGGGGGTGCCCCTCCAAGTTGCCAATGATCCCCAAGGGGGGGGGGGGCGTCAACCCAGGGAGAGAGAAGCCGCCTGCGGTCCAGCCGGGGCTTTTGCTGGCTGCGAGGACCACGTGGGGAAGGGGGAGCCGGGGGAAACCCTCGGGAGGGTCCTTGACAAGAGCCAGAGGGTCCCGCCGGCCTTCCCCGCAGTTCCACGTGGCCTAATGGACCTCCCCTTCCCTTCCCTTCCCTGCAGTCAGGGGCTGCCTTAGCATGCCAGGCGGATGGGCCCAAGCCGCTTTCTTCGGAGCCCCAGTGCGGCATCTCTTCGGCAGTGCAGACAAGGTTCGCCTGCCCCCCAGGTTGCTTCTCTCCCGGGTAGTTCCTTGTCCTGCCTCCGGGTGCTTTGGAGAAGAGCTGGACCCCCTCCCCTTCTTTGGGGCAGCCCCTCAGACACTGGAAGGCTGCTCCCCCCCCCCCCGCCCTTCTTTTCCCTAGACCGGCCAAACCCAAATCCTGCAGCCCTTCTTCATAGGTTTTAGTCTCTTTAGTCATCTTGCTCTTCTCTGAACGTTTTCCCAAAGTCTCAACAACTTTTTGTGGTGCGGTGACCAAAACCAGGCCAGCCTGCAGCTCCCTGATTTCTGACACCTGAACCAGCCCAGGTGGATGTATTCTCACCCTGGCAGAGGTGGTCTTCAGAAGGTTCTGACCAGTTCTGGAGAACCCCTAGCAGAAATTTTGGATAGTTGGGAGAACCGGCCAATCCCGCCTCTGACTGGCCTCGCCACCCCAACCTCTTCTCTGCCTCCCATTGAGTCCCAGCTGATCGGCTGGGTCTCCTTTGGTTGCCCTGCACAGGAGAAGGGAACTGGAAAGCAGGTTAGGGAGGTGGGGAGGGAAGGGGGATTTTCCAGTATCCTTCCCCTGCCACGCCCACCAAGTCACACTCACAGAACAGGTAGTAAAAAAAATTGAATCCCACCACTGCATCCCGGGAGAGCCCAAGAAACAGGGTTCCTTTTTTGCTTCTGAAGACAGACTCTGCCCTAAGGCCATTCACCCGGCGGCCCAAAGGCTGGAGACCGGACCGCGGCTTCCTCCTTCCAGGGGGGCCTTTGGGAAGGTGGGCTTAGCTGGCAGATCACTGTTAATGGCTGACAGGGCATCAGCAACCTTCAGCCTTGCCAAAGAGGCCGGCTGTCCATGATTCTCTTCCATATAAAATCAAGCAAGGCTCCACCTGCCAACATTCAAACAGGAGGCCCAGGTGCCTCCGCAGGTATCCTCCCCCTGCCACGAGTTCTGGGTTTCTGCTGAATGAGTCCAAAGTCTCATTCAGACTCTAGAAATTCATAGCCGATTAGGGAGCCTGCTTGTATGAATGTTGGGGTATTCGTTGCTTCCCCTATTCTCCGCACCCCCTTTCCAATAAATTCATTTCGTTATCTAGGGACTGAGTAAAGGTGTTTGTTTCTCTTGGAAGGAAGCCTTCCTCCTCCAGGCCAGGCTGGGCCTTTGCCCAGGTCTCCGTCCCACTTTAAGACTGGGACCAGCCTCTCAGCTCCCTTCTTGACCTCGGAGAAGTCTTGGGCAGAGAGCAAAATTTAATTGTATGTGTTTATTGAATTTTAAAACCTCCCTCACAGAAGAACTTTAGGATGCGTACAGATAAAACATCACAGTGTGAAAACTGTGTGAAACTTAGAAAGACAAGGATGAATTAAAAAGCAGTGTGGAACATTGATTAAAAGCCAGGGTGGGGCTTGCCGGCTGCAGAGCCGTGTTTGGGGCCTTTAGGGGAAAGGCGGGGGGGGGGGGGGGTTTCATCTCCCGATGAGGGAAACTTCCATGGGGGGGGGGGGGGATAGCAGAGAAGGCTCCCTTCCTGAACCCCCCAGTTGCAATTCCTGGATTGGTGGGGCCTGCAACGCATCTTCCTTGCCTGACCAGGTGGGACAGGCTGATCTAGCAGGCGGTTTCCTAGGTAACGTGACCCCAGCCGCGGGGGGCTTGATAGGTCCCACCCCAACACCTTGAATTGGAAACCAGCGCAGCCTGTGTTGTCAAGGCGGGAGATGGGCTGTTCTTTGGGCAGGCAGGGCTGCCCCCACCACCTTGTTTTGCACCGGACCTTTCAGGGGTAGCCCCCCCCCCACACACACACATAGAGCGCAGTGCAGTTATCCAAGACCTCCCCCAGCTACACCAACCATTGATGGCCGTGCAGAGTTCTCTTTCCTTGGAGAAGCCGGGGGGGGGGGGGGGGGGGGGCAGGGGAGAGCAGGGCCCCCGAGGCTGCGGGTCTGTTTTGGACAGGAAACCCAGAAGGCTGGCGGGGTTCGGTCATGGGGGGCAGTTTGGATCACAGCGGCAGTCCAGACTATCTCATGGGCTGGATTTGGGGGACGGGGGGTGGGGGGTGGCTGGGAGAAGCCACAGTCAAGCTGTGGGTCCTGGTGGGGGAAGGCGCCTCTCCAGGGGTGGGATTCAGCCAGTTCTGACCAGTTCTGGAGAACGCATAGTGGAACTTGTGGGTGGTTCGGAGAACCGGCCAATCCCGCCTCTGACTGGCCCTGCAAACTCCGTCTCTTCTCCGCTTCCCATCGAGTCCCAGCTGATCGGCTGGGTCTCCTTGGGTTGCCCTGCACAGGAGAACAGAGCTGGAAAGCAGGTTAGTGGGGTGGGGCGGGAAGGGGGATTTTGCAGTATATCCTTCCCCTGCCACGCCCACCAAGCCACGCCCACAGAAGCAGTAGTAAAAACACTTGAAACCCACCCCTGGCCCCCTCCCTGCACCTCTGAGCAGGGACAGGTTGCAAGACGGCCTGGGGGAGACCCCACCTGGATCGCCGGCCCTTCTCTGCTGCCCCCTGAAAAGGGAAAGGGAGCGCCCGCCCTCCTCTCAGGCAAGGGCCAGGCCCACCGCTCTGGATCCTGCCAGGAGGGGGTGTCCAGGCGGGGAGGGGCTCACCTGGCCACGAGTGCCAATGCCTCCTTCCTGGGCTTCCCCGCCGCGCCCCTCCTTCTGGGGAGGTTGGGGGGGTCTCATTTGGACGGGTGTCGCTTCTGCTTGACGTCCCGGTGCCGGAGCCCCAGGATCGGGGGCCACAGGAGGCGCAGGAAGGGTCAGGGAGCCTGGGAGGCTGGCAGAGCGAGGCAGCCGCAGGAGGGAAAAAGCCGACTTCACCCTGGAAGGAAAAGAGGCGTTGCTAGAGACGACGATGGAGGCCTCGGCGAGTCCGTGGTTCACCCGGGCGGTTCGGCCTATTCGCTTTCATGAAGCACAAAGTGGTCCACACTGGGAACACACACACACACACACATACACACACACCCCTGCAGAAGTTGTCCTCAACTTGCAGCCGTTCATTTAATGACCACTCCACCTTAAATGGGTGATGAAAAGGGGGCTTACAAGCAGTCCTCGCCCTTATGACTGTCACAAAATCCATGCCATCTCATGACCAACGTTCAGGCCCTGGCAACCAACCCAGAGTCACAACAGTTGCAGCATCTCAGAGTCACATGATCCACACCTGTGACCTTACCAGCCTTACCAGCTGGCTTCCGACAAGCAGAGTCAATGGGGAAGCTGGATCCGCTAAAGGACCACAGCGAGAGCAGTCATAATATTGGGTGCTGCTTCTTCAAGAACTGTTTCACGTAGCCATGAAAGTCCCTGTCCATCTGTGGTCGTAAGTCCAGGACTAGCTGCAAAGGGGGAGTTCCAAGGGTGGGATTCTACAGGTTCTCACCTATTCGCTAGAACCGCTTGTTAACATTCTAAGCAGTTTGGAGAACCGGTTGTTAGAAGGAATTACAGGGCTAATCCTGTAAGGAAGGCAGGAAGGAAACATTCTGGCGTTGCTTACAGAAACTGCCTCTCCGTTAACCCTTATTACATTCTTGGCAGGACTAGACTTCCTGTCTCAGGAACTTTTCTGGAGTTTTTTCCCCCTCCTTTGTTGGTACTTTGCTTGTGTGGAGTGACCTTTCAAAGTTACAATGGCACTGAAAAAAGTGACTTATGACCGTTTTTCACACTTACGACTGTTGCAGCATCCCCACAGTCATGAGAGGCCAGGCGAGGAGATGCGTGTCTCGATGTGAGGGATGTTGAGTTGGCCACGCCCAGCCAATAACATGACCAAGCCACGCCCACCAGCAGAACTGGTTGTTAAAAAATTTGAATCCCACCCCCGGGGAGTTCCCAGCTAGGAACTCTTGGGGGGGAGGGGACTGGAAACGGCACAATACTCTGGGAGGCGGAGGCCCTGGGGGGGCGGCTCTGGTCATTAGAGGGGGGCCAATGCAGCTGATGGGCAGGAAAGCCCAGGCGCTCCTTGGCTTGAGAAAGGCTGCTGTGGGGGAGGGGGGCATAGCGTGGCAGAGCTGGGCAGGTGGGCCTTTCCTCTCCCCGCAAGCCAGGATCAGGCTCAGCCGTGGAGCTGGCTGGAAGTTGGGCCGAGCAGGGAAGCTCTCCTTGCCAGACGGAACCCGGGCAATTCACGGCTCCCTGATGTGGCGATGATGGCTAGTATTTGTTTCTCCAGTCGGGGTGGCTGCCCACCTGCCAGGATGTGCCAGCCAGGGCCTCAGTCCTGCGCAGAGCAGCCAAACACCCCGGGGACCAGCTGGATGGTGCCTGGCTTCCTCTTAGCACCCACAGAGGCCCTTTTAGCTGGCCGGGGGGCAGAATCCAAGTGCGGGGACAGGCCAGGCTGGGCTCATCAGGGCTCCGCTTCAGAGGCTCCGCTTAAGAACAGGCCAAAAGTGGGGGGGAGTCAGCCTCCTTGTAGCCCAGAGCCCCCCCTCCCCCGCAGTTCCACCCCCCTCTAAAGACGCCGACCGGCTCCTTCAGATGTTGCGGGGGGGGGGCAGCCAATAGGGAGCTTGGCTGGGTTTCTCCAGCCTTCAAACCTGCCCTCCGGTTGAGATCTAACTCTGTCCTCCATCAGCTGTCATGAATTGGGCCGTGGGCGACTCTTTCTGGGCGCTGCCTGGCCGGGGAGTTCGGTCGGCTTCACGGTTTGGGAAGGGACCACCACAGATGCCCCTCCCTGTGCAATTCCACACAGCCCCCTCGCCTCGCTCTGTTAAAGGGAGAGGAATTGGGGAACAAAGGGGGGAAAGCCAGCCCTCAAAAGCACCGGGGAGGGGGGCTCACCTGTGCCTTTCATGGCCACGATCTCGCAGATAAACTTCTTCTTCTCGGAACAGGGACGCCAGTTCGAAACGCCCTCGTGCAGTTCCACGCAGCCTTCCTTATAATACGACTCTCCAGAGTTTGGACGAGGAAAGAAAGGAGAGAGGCCGCTCCAGACCTCTGCTCTCTGGCGCGGGCAGAAGCCACCCTTGCCCCCCCCCCCCCCCCCCGGGCCCCCCCCCCCCCCAAGGCCCCCCCCGCCCCCGGCGGCAGAAAGCCCCCAGGCACCGCTGGGAGGTGGGGGAGGCCAGCCA